AAGGGATGCAATTATGCACTGCAGCACTATTAAAATCAGCCATATAAACTGATCACTCATCTAAGTCATCACACTGTTTGGCCCACTTGCTCTAGCGAGTTTCTGTTTTGTACTCCACTCTGCAGCTGCCTTGCACCTCCCACTCCTTCTTTACTGTCTTCATGTAAATCAAAAATCCATCAAACCTCACTTCATCAGTAACAAATCAATCACTTGGATTACTCAACTATAAAACCATGACCTTGTGGCTGCAAAGGCGGAGTATCTGTGTGACAGATACATCCAGAGCACCTGGATGACAGCAAACAAAAGAGAAAAGAAGTATTTTAATAAATGTATTTGCTAAAGTTCACAGAGGGTCTTTTCTCCTGGGCACATCTGAGCTCTCCAGAGGGGCTGTACTGTATGTACTAAGAGAAATTCTCATTTCTTGTTTGCCAGTTACTCCCCCAAAAACCAAAGCACTACTATTCCTCCTGAAAAAGCTGGCAGCCCACAGCTTGGACAGGGGCACTCTGTGCTGGGTCAGGAACTGGCTGGAGGGCCGGGCTCAGAGAGTGGTGGTGAACGGTGCTGCATCCAGTTGGCAGCCGGTCAATAGTGGTGTCCCCCAGGGATCAGTGTTGGGCCAAGTTCTGTTTAATATCTTTATTGATGATTTAGATGAGGGGATTGAGTGTACCATTAGCAAATTTGCAGATGACACTAAGTTGGGGGGAGTGTCGATCAGCTGGAAGGCAGGAGGGCTCTGCAGAGGAACCTGGACAGACTGGAGAGTTGGGCTGATTCCAGCGGGATGAGGTTCAACAAGGCCAAATGCCAGATCCTACACTTTGGCCACAACAACTCCAGGCAGCACTACAGGCTGGGGATAGAGCGGCTGGAGAGCAGACAGGCAGAAAGGGACCTGGGAGTTTGGATTGACAGGAAGCTGAACATGAGCCAGCAGTGTGCCCAGGTGGCCAAGAAGGCCAGTGGGATCCTGGCCTGTATCCGTGGCCAACAGGTCACTGATTCTTCCCCTGTACTCAGTGCTAGTGAGGCCACACCTTGAGTATTGTGTTCAGTTCTGGGCCCCTCAGTTGAGGAAGGATATTGAGGTGCTGGAACGGGTCCAGAGAGAAGCAACGAGGCTGGTGAAGGGTCTGGAGCACAAGCCCTATGAGGAGAGGCTGAGGGAGTTGGGGTTGTTTAGCCTGGAGAAGAGGAGGCTCAGGGGAGACCTCATCACTCTCTACAACTCCCTGAAAGGAGGTTGTAACCAGGCGGGGGTTGGTCTCTTCTCCCAGGCAACTATCAACGAGACAAGAGGGGACGGTCTTAAGCTCTGCCAGGGGAGGTTTAGGTTGGATATTACGAAGAAATTCTTTGCAGAGAGGGTAATCAGGCATTGGAATGGGCTGCCCGGGGAAGTGGTGGATTCTCCGTCCCTGGAGGTTTTTAAGATGAGACTGGATGTGGCCCTAAGTGCCATGGTCTAGTAACCCTGCCAGTGCTGGATCAAGGGTTGGACTTGATGATCTCAGAAGTCCTTTCCAACCCGGTTGGTTCTATGATTCTATGCTGTATTCATAACTTTTTTTTCCTAAATACAAACGAGTACAAATGTCAGAAGCAGACTAGAAATGTTGGGGCACACACACAATGCATTTTTGGTTTCTTCTAAAATAAAAGGAACAAAAGGAAAAAAGAGCACTCAGCCTCCATCTAGCTGTTTCTAAACCAAGATAAGGAAATATCTCCAACTTTCCACAAAGCTTCACATTACCTCCCCTCAAAGCCTGGAGAATCCGTTCTATCGTTTCCTTTGCTAGTGCTGCATCACCGTATTCCTACAGAGCTTCTGAATTTGTTCAGAGCTTCTTGTTGTTGTTGTTATTGTAAAAGCTAAGCTTTACACAAGACAGAGAGCTTGACAGCTTTCCCACAATCCTCAGCATGTGGGAATAGCAAGTAACAAAGTGTTAACACCTGCCAACTGGTGGTTAGGTGTTCACGTCTCTGTTAACAACAAACACTGCTGCTAGCAGTCATCAGAGCAAAGCAGCAAATCTGTTCCCTTCTCCAGCATGGAAAACACCAAGCAATAACAAAAAAAAAAGGCACCTAATTGCTTGATTAAGATGTATCAGTGTTGGAAACTGCTGATCTAGAACATCGAATCTCTGACATTTGCTTCACTCTTGATTAAACAGAAATGTATAAAACCGGCTATTTTGCAGGCAGAAGCACTGTGTACCACCCAGGGAATTGTGACAGTGAAACTTTTCATAAAGAAAGAAAATCAGAACCACCTCCTCTCTGTTGTTTCATAAAAGCATCAGATGTTAAGGCTCTCTGGCTAGTATGAAGAAGGAATGGAAGAGCACTAAGGAAGGGTTAGGAGTCAGGTAACTTCTTGATTCTCTTATCCCCATGTGGAACTTCCAGGGAAACCTTGTGAAAAAGTCCAGCTCCTGCTCTGAAAAATGCTGCTGAACAGGGAAGTCAGGACTGTTTCTTTATGGAGAGACAGATTAGTTGTGTACTTTTAAAAATCATATTTTCAGTTGGTGGTTTCCTAGGCAGCTTTGTGAGCCAGGTGGCACTGATTTATCATCACCGATTTGCATGTGACTAATGTCTTAGACCTGAGGCTAAAAGCCTGCTTACTCTAGATTTACCCTCAGTAGCCAGCTTGCTGGTTTTATTGCTCTTTCTCTGTGACAAAATCTAAGGGAGAAATGAGTCAACTTACTTGTCTCAAGTAAACTAGAGATTGTTAAGTCAAAAGAAGGCAAACTTCATTAATCTAACAGCACTCACAAAAGCCTACTGCTGCCCAAATCTCCCTAACTGCACACACAGAAACTCCAGCTTGGCCATTAGTCCTGGTTTCTTTCAGCCTGTATTTCTTCAGTCATTGCTATCAGGAAAATAAATTATCCCATTCTTGAGCAGTGGGGGAGTATTTCACATTTATATCTTTTCCCTAAACACATTATCTGAAATATTTCAGACAACTGTGATTGTACTTGGTTAATCAGATGGTGGCCAGGACAACAGATAATTTTAACCTACATCAGTTCCTGAATCTGGGTCACATGGGAGCAGGACAGTGAGTGGAAGGCATGGGTAACTTCTTTTGATGGCTCTACCAATTTATGTCAGCACTAATCTTGCATGAAACAAAGACTTTCAACAGTCAGCTCCTTGAAACAGAGGACACATGTTCTCCCTATTTCATGAAACATCAAGTATTTGAAAATCCTACAAGTAGTAGATGGTGGTAATAAATTGTCTTACAAAGGATGGCAAAAAGTTGTTCTGAGTTTAAGCAACATTGTTCACCAAATTGCTATGGTAAAGACCCAAACAATGTTTGATTTAAAGCACCCTGCAGATGATTCTATGGACAGAAAATGGACAAACAACTCTTTAGTTGGCCAAAAGTTGCTTTCTCCACCAGGAATGGATAAACAAGGTAATATACTTGCCTGCCAACATGAATATTGACCAATTTACTGAGCTAGATATTTCCAAATAGCAGTTGGAAAGCTTTTTTTGTATGGGAGGTTTAGGATCCCCTGCACTAGAATAGTATTAGAGGAAAATTTCCATGTTTCGTGTGAATGTTCAAGCCCCTTAGTAGCTGAATTTAGAACCTCAGTCACATGCTTTCTGTGACTCAGCCATTTGTTAATCATCCTCTGCCCATTATATTTCAGGAAAGTTACAGAAACCCATAATTAGAAAGGCGATCCCCCTCCTTCTGTCTCTTTTCTGCCTGTTCTCTAGATATTATGTCCTCTCACTCCCTTACTTACCAGAGGCTGTGTGCTATTTATTCCCATTCTGTTCCCAACTAGATTTATTTCCTTCCAATTTCCCCCATTTTACGCCCTTACAACAGTTTCTAGACCATACCCCATGTGCAGAATGCTCCAATTAACTGCTGCTCTTGGATCCCTTTTCAACCCTCCCTTTTCTGAACCCAGCAGCTTGCCCAGGTCTTCATCTCTCTCTCCTGCACAGACTTTTATTGACAGTTACCTTCTCTGCTCCCATGGGCCTTCAAATCGGTGCCATTCTTGCACAGTCTGGGAGCATAAAGCCAGAGAACTTGGTTGCTTCTGTCTAAACCTCTCCTGGACTAGTTTCTCTAATTTGTTTAAGTTGTTGATCTGTGGACCTGGCACTTCTGTGCTTCTTCAAAACAACGTTGCTGCCCAATGTGTTATTTCTACTCTTGCACACTGCTCCCTCTATGCACCATTCCAGCTCTATCTCCTTTGCTACATCAAACAACTTTCTTGTTTTTGTCTTGCAAACCACTATCTTCTCTTCCTGCTCAATCAACTCCCACCACCCCTGTGCCAGAGATAACAGGAATGATCAGAAACAAATCTAGTTTTCCCAGTACTTCATGTCACATTTTGCAGTTTTGCAATATTTTTTGTGTTCTTCATTTGGTAAGGAACAGAGAGCTCTGAACTATCAAAGCCAGAGGGACAACTGTCATTCAGCCTGAGATAGTGTAGCTCCTTTTCACTAGGACAATCATCCAGAAGATGCTGGAGTGAATTATCAATGTCTGATCTGCAGTAGGCAAAGGGGAATACTTGAGCACGCAGCACTTAAATCTCAGATTTATGGTCCAGGTACTGGGAAGCAGGAGAAGACTGGGAAGGACAGGTACATACGTGCCCTTTTCAAACTCAGCACACCCTGAATATGAGGATGAGAGTTTCTTTCACACAAAACTCTATCCCTTTTAAAACTAATAGGTAATCTTTAAAGTAATCTCTAAGTACTAAACTCTGACCCCCTTCATGCCATAAACACCCCTCACTGACATCTGTAATGCCTCTGCCAATTTACAGGTTATTCCTGACTTACCCTTTCTTTGATGACAGAAGACACTAGCTTTATTATTGGCTCATCACCCCACTCTTGTCCCAAACACACGGCATATGTATTTTACCTGAGGATAACCCTGCCTTCTTCAGGACAAGACACACCTTGACAGTCCTTTTTCCAGCAGCATCCCTGCTCCTTGGTGTTTTCTGGGCACTGGCAGCCTGCCAAACAGCAGCACAGGCAGAGGGGCGCACACCAGACTAGTAAGGCTAGCTGAGATCCTACGGGTCTGAACTTTATCCATTATGTTTCTTTTTGAGGCAGCTATCTTCAAGGTAGGTTGTTATCTCTTTCTTCATCACCTTGTAGTTCACTAGACCACAGTGCCAGAACACTCCAGAAGCAGAAGAGCTAAATCTAAATGCAGAAAAACACAGCACAGTCTAGCAGTTAAATCACAGAGCAAATGATCTTGATTCCTCTGTTATCTTTGACATGGCATTTCTGTAGTACCTTGACAAGGGCACAAAGTAAACTATCCAGTAGCAGTTCCCCCCTCCTACAAATGCTCAAAAGCCTGTAAAAGCATCACAACTACTTTGCATCGGTACCTGTGGAAGCTGCCCCTCTCTCCTGTGCATCAGCACTCTTTCTGCAACAATCTACCACACAAAGTCTGGCTGCATCCATCCCTTTACCAGGAGGTGAGGACTCTGGCAAGCTCTGATTTGGCATAGGTGTCACCATATGCTTTCCCTACTGATACATGCAAATTCCTGTATTTAGTTTTAGCACTAACAGGTTAATGTATCTTCTCTGACTATATTCAGATGATGACTACGTCAGGATAGTCTTTTCCCATTAGGTCAATAGCAGCCAACAAAGGAGCGTTTGCTTCTGATTCTTTAGCTGAATAGGAGAAAACAATTGGTACAATATTAGCCCAAAGAGGGAGGAATATAGAGCACCTGAAATGTACTGCCAACAAAGCAGTTATCAGCAGGAAGGAGATGGGCATCTGACTGCCTGCCCTGTTCATCAACCTCACTAAGGGACTCAGTTCCCAGGTATTCAATAGAACTCAGCAGAGCTAACATGCAAAGTTGCGCATACTATCTTGGAAATAAATTACTCTCCCTGGACTACAGAAAATAGATCCCTTTCTTGGTAGTCTTTGAACAAAAGAGAGGAGTTGTCCATTCTGTTCCACATTAACCTTAATAGTTTCCGCTATAGGCTCTACTACATTACTTAAAATTGGTACTGATGACTTGCCTAACTGAAAGGGCAGCTGTAAAAGAAATAGTTCTGTTGGTGATGGAATGGAGGGCTCAAATATACAAGTTGAAACAACGTGAGAGCAACACAAACATGTGAAAACCACTTCAACACCTACCTCCCAGTGAATTCTGTGGTGTTGGTTTGATTGTTTCTTGGAGGGTTTAATGTCTTGATGCTAGGAAAGGCTTGTTTCTGTTCCTGTAGATCAAGGTTCCAGCATTACACTTTGATATACAATAATGCGTACTGCTTGTCTTTCATCCCTCACCGATGATGCACAGCTTTTTCACTGCTGAAAATCAGATAATCAGAGCTTTAATAAAAAGGGATATTTTGGGATGGTTCTAAAAATCACTCAAGTGAAAGGCACATAAGGCTTACTCTCCAGACTAAATGCAAGATCTCTGCAGCCTAGAGCAATCAAAGCAGTCTTACAGACTCTTGCTAGCGCTTGTCAGGTCCTGAACGCTGGAGTTTTCCTAATCATAAGCACTATAATCCAAAGAACAGACCTATCAAGAGGCAAAAATATAATCACATATCACCAGCCCTTTGGGCTACACAGTTAGCTGAATACCCTGCATCTGTGTGATGAGATCTTTTGTAAGAAATGGATAGCATGGAAGTAGTAACCTTTTATTTCTAGTTCCTACTTTGGCTTCTACTCTTCAGCACACAAGAAGATGACACCTGTCTTACCCAAGGCTGCCTCAGCATCAGACAGGCTGTGTCTCCAGGTCCCTATCTGTCCTTTCATCCTGTGTTTTAGTTTTCTGCCTGTGGAACAAAGCCAAGGGTCTTGGGGCTATTTGGATCTTTGGAGGATTTGGATGCACTGCAGGGTGAGGCTGGGCCTCATTTTAAGAGAAGGCTCCAGCCCACGCCGGTGCCAAGAAGCTGACTAATGCAATTATTTCCTTGCAGAGCAACATTTTTCAAAGTGCTGATTCTTATTAAGAAAAAGGAATGGATTTGGAGCTCATATTTTGATCTGGTGCCCAGGATTATTTGGAAATTCTTTTTCCTGGAACGAGACTTTTTATTCCAAATTTCCCCATGGTGGGGAGAGAGGGTTTCCTGGGCAGAATTAGGATAATGATTACAGCCTGTATACAATCAGTTCTAACCGCTGTGGAACTCCAAAAATGAATGTTATTGCTCAGTGGCTTCATTGAAAACAGAAGTATTATTTAACCAGAAGGATGGCAACACATGGAAATAGCTCATTATCATATTTTCTCCCTATTTGAAATGTCACATTGAGTATGTATCTTTCACGTCCACTACACTTTAATTAATTTGGACTGTGTTTAAATATATTACACAGTATGCTTTATTACAAAATTCTGACACATTCCCATTGATGAAACAGAGCTTCCTTTCGAACACATGTAAATGGTAGTAGGAGCTACCCTGCCTAAATATCGTTTTAAATACAATAAGAATAGCACATCATCTATGTGTCAGCCTGTGTTTTTCTGTGGTATGGAACATATAGAGCAAAACCAACATCACATCTAAAGCTCGCTGTTTATTGAAGGGACAATGATGTTAATGTTGTTATTCTAGGTCTAAATCTTAACCACTTACCTTATTTACATAATTGCAAGACAAACATATATTTTACTCAATGGCTGGAAAAGATTCCAGCAGAGTGATTGCCTAGAAATTAAAAAGTGGAATTGCAGGGTGTATGCGTGAGACGAAAATGGCTTGTTTTAACACAGCTGGTGTATCTTCTGTGCCCTTTCAAACACAGCACTTATAAAGACAGTTGCCCTCCTCCACCCAGGTCTGCAACAAAGTAGAGGATTTATTTAATTTGTGAAGCTTCCTCTGGAACGCAGTCACTCCAGAAGTTATTCCTGATTTATACTTGTCTAAGAAACTAGGAGAATCAAACTAGTTTTTAAAATCATGTGAAAATGAGAGTTCATTAAACCTTTAGTGTTTCTTGAACTGAAATCTATCACACAGAACTCTATGTTGCACAGGATCAGGGATTTTGTAGAAGGTGTAACTAATATCTGACTGATAAGATGTCATCTCTTCTCTATTGCTTCTGTTGAGGAACTAAAGTATTAGCTACTTAACTACTGTTAAAAGCATTTTGGTTTGAACTGTCTTTGGTTCAGCAAGCAGCTAATGACTTGCTTCCTCAGGACGTTTCTATTCCACTCTATCATGACAGTCCTACTAAGATGCCACCAAGCGCTGATAATGCTTCTATCAGGAAGGAATCGCCTTCCTCACTACTCACACCCTGTTCAGGAACCACTTGGAGCCCAGGATGGTGGAGGGGACCTGATTAATTTCTTGGGAGACAACTGACTGGCGTACCTCAAACAACAAGCCTCTGCATGACATTACAGTCACTCCCAACAGTTTGTTCTAAAACATGTTCCAGGGACAGCTCCTTGGACCCTTCCTTCCTCATCCATCCTCCTAAGGGAGCAGTAATCAAAGTTTTATTCTCTGAATCATGGATTATTTTTTTATTATTATTATTTTCCCTAGCAGATGGCTTTTTTCCAAAATAATTTCACAAGCAAAGATTCTTATCATTAGGAAGGTAATTCTGTTCTGAAATAAACTCCCAGATGGGGCCACATGGAATACACGTGTTGTTCCTTAGATAAAGGGAAGTTGTTAGACTGTTGATCACTGGATGCTGCCATGAAGAAAGAGCACAAACCTACTCTGTACTATTAAATACTCCGCTACTTATTCTTCTGTCCTGAGTGTTCTTTCTTCACCCCACATAACCCTTTCCTCAGAAAACGTTTACACTAAAAGGAAAAATGTTTTTCAGCAATTGAACAACAACAAAAAGTTGAGTTTAGATACAACATATGTCTGTCTTTAAAAATCTGGATTGGTTTTATATTTAATTCATTCAGTGAATTGTAATAAATGAATAAACCTAATTTGGAGAATAATAAAAAATATGAACTACATTGCTGAAGCCAAAAGCAATAACTTCAGCTTGCTTTTTCCCACTTCTTTGCTCCTTCGGACCCAAGCATTATTGTCGCGGTCTTCTTTTTTTTTTTTTTTTCTGTATATTTATGTGTTCTGTTTTATTTGATTTCTACATTAAAGGACCGCTCTAGTGTAATATGAAAAGATACTATAATCACCACATCTAATTACAGAGAAATCTAAGTGTCTAATACAAAAACATGCAATAAAAAAAGGACAACTGTCATATCGAAAGCCACGGACACAGCAATCTGATGAGGTGGGCTAGGAAGCACTACTAAGCTCTCCCGTTTACAGTGTATGGGGAACTAGAAAACTTTGCTGTCTGAGAAGATTGGATGAGGTGCTAGATAATCTCATCTAGGCTCCCTCTCCCATGAAAGGCTAGACAAAAGAACCTTCCAAGTTCCCTTCCAGCCTGGGCTGTTCTGTGATCCTAGAAAATGAGAAAGTCTCTCTGATACATGGCTCTCAGGTTAACCACAGCTTTTCCTCCTTGGTCTATTTCTAACTTCAAGAGCTTGTGCTTACTGTTTCGTTGGGGTTGGGGGGGGGGCTGTTTCTTTGTTTATTTTTGTTGTTTTGAGGGTTTTTCCCCCAATTCCCCAGAGTATCAAATGTGAAATGGTATCCTTTTAGCTGCTAGTAGGAAGGATCTTGTGTTCTTCACACATTTAGATTTTCCATCAAAATCATCAGGAATGTATTAAAATAAGCAGGCCAATTTCCATCTCCTGGCATGAGTCAACGAAGCCTTTAGATGCACATGAAGTGCAACACTGAGTATGCAATTGACAGCTTCCAAAAAGGAGTAGATCACCTAAATGTGTTCCTGAAGGAGTAGTATTTCTTTACCTGACTGCAACTGCCCCTACTAAGAGCAACATTAAAAATACACACAGCTTTACCATCCACAGCTTCGCTCGAGTTAATAAGCAGTTTGGGTTTGTTTTGTAGACCTTTAAAAGTCCAAAGACCACTTTGTATTAAAGGCAGCTCATTACTTTTGTCCATATGCAAGTGGACATTCACCTCACGTGCCAAGTTCCAAGGCTGAACGACTGTTTAACCATAAATCCTCTCACAAGACAGAGGCATGAGTAACTGTTAGATTTGAAGGTAGAAGGGACAAAGGGAAGAAGCAGAGTCATGGGAATGATTTTCCAGAGGTTCTCAACACCATCGACCCAGCACAACACCCCTAATGAATGAATAGCAATCATCTTGCAAGAAAAAAAACAAAACAAAAAAAAGCCACCAAAAAAATCCCAACCAAAAACAAACTGATCCACAAAACCAACCCAAACTCCCCAGAAAGCCCTAAACTTTTCTTTGTATCTCATTTGTATGACTTCATATAAACTTGTTTCTCTGTGACTTGGCAGTGCAGCAACCATACTGACATCTAAAGAGGCATATGCCCACGGGCAGTATTCTACTTATTCACTTGAACCTGATATTTGAACTCACAAAGTATAGATGTACCTTGGATAATGCCATTAGTCCTGTGCATAGTTGTGTGTAGTTTGTGCATTTAAGATTATTTCAGCACCAGGAAAGCATTTAATAAAATCCAGATAATGATGCTATAATTATGTGACAGACAAACAGAAATGCCAGACGGCACTGGTCGTTTCTGTTATTTCTATTCAGCTTTTGAAATAAATTTTAAATATGTATTTCTTTTTTAGCAGAGGGCAACAGGCATGAGACAAATAATATTTATTAGAAAAACATTCTCTATAGATCAGTTCCTGCTAACTCATCTTTCCTTTCACAGACCTCATTCATTTTTTCCATGTTGATTTTGCAAAAATTATTAAATAGCTTTACAACAACAGAATTACAAGTGTTTTGAGAAAGGGAGACGCCTTTAGACAGATACAATATAATTTTTTTCAGAGGAAAGTCTGTTACAATCAATTATCAACAAAGATGATGTGAACAGTCAAATCCTCCTGCAATTTCAAAAATGTGTTGATTTAACAAAGATTTAAGTAACTTAAGTACATTGTTCAGGACAGATCCAAGTCTAGGAGAATTCTGACTACATTTGCCAGGCAATGATTCCCTCCAGTATTTGCAATAGTGTTCATTTCTTTTCTCTAGTATTCCATTTCTGCATGCAACTTCCCTTGATTTTATTATTGCCACAATTAATTGTCCTAAATCTAAAACAGTACTGGAAACAGAATTTAACTTGGAAAAATCAGACTTAATTTGCAAGAGATTCACTGCAACATAATCTCTGCTGAAATGTTTACAAGTTGCTTTTAGAGAACTAAAAGCCAAGAGGCATCTCAGAAAGAAGGTTGTGGAAAGACCAAATTTATCTGGCTACATATGCCATGCCACACCATGATCATGTTCTTCTGTCTCGGGGTCTTCAGTCCTACCAAGAATTATAGCATTTAATTTCAGTTCTATACACTATACCTTCCACTCAAGACAAAAAAAGTGGCTTAATCTGCTATAAAGTGGTAGGTGTACAAAATCTAATGGCTAGCAGCATCCTGATGCAAACCCCTATATAAGTCTAAGAAATCTTTATCCTTTCTTTCAGTGAGTTTTATCACTGAGATTTGTTTGCACTTTAGGTTTTAACTCCAGTGTCCTAATACCTGCATGCTTCACCTGTGTCTTCAAAACAACACAAGTCTCCCTATAACTCTCAAGTTCATGGCTTACTGCAGCATAACCTAATCCAAAGAAGAAATACAGATTTATCATGAATTTAGTCAGTGGCTATGGTCCCCACAGTATAACTTTCAGAAGCAGAAACCCTAGCTGCTACCACATGAAATTAAATATCTTGCTGTTTCTAGAAACACCTGAAAAAAACGACCTTTTCCTGCTTCATCTTTGTCAAAAAGTACAAGTGAAAAGCACGTCAAAGACTTAACACATTATCACCTTGACAGAACAATGTGCTTTTAGGCTCCAAGTAAGAGACTGAGCTACTAAAGTAAAATCCTTGGAAAATTCATATACTTATTTCTAGATGGCTCTAGAGAATTCATGGCAAAGAGAGTCTATGATGATGGGGTCTTGTTGTAGAGACAAGCTACCCGTCAACTCACAGAACCTTCCAAGAATTCTGGTGTTCACTAGATTCACAAAATAGAGACAACACCACTAGGCACAATATCTTATCTAATATTACTAAAACCTTTAAAAGCATGAAAATATGAACATATCCTCTTACAGAAAGAAGACACTGGATATGACTTAAAACCAGCAATATACACACACTTTTACAAATACAGTGTGGTCTTGCTCTTTTGCTTTGTTTGTGTTGGTCTTCCTCTTGTTCTTTTTTTTATTTTTTTAATTAGTATTATTTTTACACCAACACAAAACTTCAGTGTGCTGAAAATTAGGAGGGCATAGACAGATTATTTTTCAGTAGAATTAATAAGCCATTTATAAGTTGAATTAGTTTGTTTCTTAATGGTTCCTATACCAGCAAGAAACAGTGAAACTGCCAAGTAATGCTACTGATAGTTCATCAGGCTCTATTTATGAAAGGGGTACCTACTTGTACAGAGAATCAGTCTGCTCACTTGCAGGAACAAATGGGTCATCCAGTTAGAGACTTCATTTGATATCCTAAAAGATGTGTCTGGCTTTCTGAAATTCTCAGGGTCAATTGTGGAAGAAAAAAACAAATTATAGGGCACTTTAAAGAGATATACACTATGTTGCTATATAAAATACTTATATAAATTGTAAATGAAAATATATGAGAGACACATCCAAGGTTAGAAAGAATGGAAAATAAGGGGTAGACTGGGAGAACAGAGAATGTGTCCAAGGTAGGCAGGTACAATTTAGGTTACTCTTCACTTTATAGATGAATCGTAACACTTACGAATAGAGAAAGATGACAAACAACAGCCTTAATAAGAGGGAGCATATGAAGGTCAAAAAACACATGGGTCTTAGAGACTCATTTACTGATTTAATCTAGCATCGTGAATCCTCTAAAGCTTGAGAACAGAGGTGCTGGAAGCCATTAAAGAAGAATGCTGTGAAAACCAACATACGAAGCAATTTGAGATGTTCACTGATGACAGCATATGAGCAATAGAGACCTCCACCCAAATAATATGTTCCATTTTTACATCTTGCATCTGGATGGAATAAGGAGGTGGTTAAAGACCTGAGCACTAATGATCTCAGTAATCTGTAGGCAGAAAAATCCATAATTCTAATGAACTCTGGGAAATGATAAAGTAGTTATTAAATTATGGCATCCTAGAGATCACAGAGAATTTGAGGCTAAGCAGTGGGGAAAATGGAAGGAGCAAAGAAAAAAGTGAACGTCTGAATGACTAAGATGGCAGAACTTGGTGCCTAAAGATATCCGATTTCTCAGCATCTCAGGAAAGCAACAAGGCTGGAGTAAATCCTCTCGAAACCTTGATCATTGCTTTTGCCACTGAGCTCATAGCACGTGTCCCAGTACGACTTTCTTGCTTGAATCAGACTAATGTGAGACATTTTAATTGTGATTACTGGGTCAGCAGAAAAGGGTGAGCCTAATGGGCTGGTAATATACAACATTGCAGAGAGAACACACAGAGCAGCGTGGAACATTAAAGAGGAAAAGAAGTGACAAAATAATGACTTACCTGGGGCCAAAGAGGAAGGAAGTAAATGGTAGAAGTAGGGGTAAACATGCCTTGGAGGAAAGGAGGATGACTTCCTACTTTTGAGTTGTTGTGTTTCTTTAAATATATTTCCCCAAATCTATTGGTGGTGTTGTGATCTAGGTTATCTCAGTTTAAGTTCAGACTGATTTTTTTGCTGTTGTTGTTTCAATTCAGTTTCCCTATAAAAGCATATATCTAGCAGAATCCACAACCAAAATTTACCTTAAGCAGAGAACAGCGCAAAAATTATGAATTTACGGAATTCCTGAGGTGTGAAGAGACCTCTGGAGATTTTCTAATATGACATCTCTAGTCAAAGCAAGGGCAACTAGAGCAGGTTGGTCCAGTAAGGTTTGGAGTAACTCCAAGGACAGAAGCTCCTCAATCTCTCTAGAAAACTTGTTCCAGTGTTCAACCAGTTTTGTACTACAGAAGTTGTCTTTTATGTTTACATGGAATTTCCTGTGTTTCAGTTTGTGCCCATTACCGCTTGTCCATACACCAGGCATTATTGAGAATAGTCTGGCTCTGTCTTCTTCACTGCTGCGTCATCAGGTATTTTTACACATTGAAAAGACCTGCCCCACATCCTCTCTTGTCTAGGTTGAATAGTCCCAGCTCTCTCATCTTCTCCTAATGTCAGATACTCCAGTACTTCAATCATCTTCATCACCCTTTGCTGAACATTGTAGAGCAAATGGACCTAGAACTCCAGGTAGCTACCACCAGGGCTGAAAGAAGGGGAAGGATCATCTCCTTTGACCTACTGGTGATGGTCTACTTAGTGCAGCCCAAGGGAGTGTTAAACTTCTTCACTGCAATGGTACACTGCTGCCTCTCAATCAGCTTGTCCTGGTTAAGAAACTTTCTTTAAAGTTGCTTTCCAACTGACTGAATCTTGTCTCTCCTGGCGCATGGTGCTATTCCTCCCCAGGGGCATTTCCCTTTGTTGAACTTTATTAATTCTTTTTGTCCATTTCCCCAGCCTGTTTAGTTTCCTCTGAATAGCAACACACCCATGTGAACTATCAACCACTCTTCCCCAATTTGTATCATTTGCAATCTTGCTGAAGATGCCCTTTGTCACGTCACTAGAGATGTTACACAGTGTTGTCCCTACTATCTTCCCCTACAGTACACCACTAGTGACTGGCCTCCACCCACTGATCACAACCCAGCAGTTCAGCCAGTTTTCAGTCCCTCTCACTATCTACTCACCTATCCTGTACTTTTTGGGTTTGTCTATGAGGATGTTATGGGATACACTATCAAAAGACTTAGTGAAGACATGGTAAATAGCATAAACTCCTCACACCTACTGAACCAATCATCTCACTGTAGGAAGCAATCAGGATGCTTAAGCATGACTTCCCCTTCATAAATCCATGCTGACTACTCCCCACCATCTTGCTGTCCTTCATATGTTCGGAAGATGATTCCTAGAATTATATGCTCCACCACTTCATCATGGACTGAGATAAAGCTGATTACCCTCTAGTTCCCTGGATCCTCCTTATCAGTGATAACAGTGACATTTGCTTTCTTCCAGTCTTCTAAACCTCCCCTGGTTCCCATGATTATTATGAGTGGTCTCACAGCGACATTGGCCAGCTCCCTCATCAGTCATAGGTGTATCCTATGAAGCCCCATGGACTTGTGTCCGGTTTGTTTAAACCTTCCCCAAAGTGATCCTTCTTCACAGAGGACAGGTTCCCCTTGCTCCAGTCTTTCCCACTGGTCTCAAAGACCTGGGATTTCTTGAGGCAAATCCTACCAGCAAGGACTGAAACAAAGTTCTGTCCTCCAGTTCTGATCCACAAGCTCTCAGCCAGCTTTATCCATCCCTAGGCATAGCTCCATGTGTTCTTGCTTCTCTCCTCCATATAAAGGATAACACTCCTCCTTGCTGCCTGGATCTCTGCTTACAAAAGAGCTTGTATCAGATCATGGCAGAGTTCCAGTTGTGTGAGTTATCCTGCCACATCTCTGTGATCCCAAGGGAGATCACTGACCTATAACTGCATGCAGACCTGTTAATTCACCTGCCTGTGTGTGTTAGTGTTCAGACATTTCAGATAGACACCCAGTCATGCTGATTTTCAGGATAAGGTACAAGTCTTCCCCCCTTCACGCTGTCTAAGCACTTACTTATTTTTGTGCATATACTTGTGGTGAGACTCCTTTATTTCTGTCCTGTTGGGTTCAACAGATCTGTCTTATTCACAGCACCCTGTACCCTTCCCTTAACAGCCTGGAGGGTTGGGTTCATCCATGTTTTCTCACCTGATTGTGAGTCATCCTGTTTCTCCACTGTCATTCCTACCTTAAAGCTCTCCTCACCAAGCTGGCCAGCCTCTTGGCAAGGATGCTTTTTCCACACTTACATGGATCCTGCCTCTTCCTAGATATAAGTCCTTGATCCTCAAACAGGGTGCCATAGACTTTTCTTTTCAAGTTTCAATCACCATCTGTTCTGCAGGATGGCAAATAAGACAGAACAATTGCAGGAGATTAGCAAAGGAAGACTCAACTTATTACATTTGCAGAGAAGACTTTGAGGGAAGCAGGGTGATTATGTTGCGTCAACTGTCCAACCTAGTTACATCAAAATGTCTCCTAGTATAGATCTTTCTGTCTTGTATCTTTCCCATTGACTATGCCAAAGACTTGACTCCAAAAAGCAACAACCCATGTAAATTTTAAAAAAAACTTCATATTTTTTCAGGATTGTTTATCGGACTTCCTCAAAACCTTTTACAAGACCTAGATTTGTACAGCAGCAGCAGAAGAGCAGCTAGCATGATACAACACAACTACAAAGAAACCTTGTTCCGCATTAACTCTCCTGGTGATGAGAAGTAGATGCGCTACTTGTCGGAAGCTATCCAGAAATCACCACCAACACATTGAAATTTATTGTAAATTTTATAAAAAGCTTCACATTTTTCCCGGGGCAAGTTTAATAGCATATATAAGCTGAGATGCACATTTATAGTCCCACTTTTCCTCTCTTATTACAGTGCAAATCCTCCCTGCCTGTGAACAGAAATCTCTGTAAGGTAAGAGTCACAACAGGTGGTAAACACTCCAACATTTAAGGACTTGTTTAGATGGTAAATGAAACCAATCCAATTAAATCAGTTGTAAATCATACCCTTAACATTTCATCAGTAGTTAGCATGAGACAGAGATTTCAGAGGCATTTCAGTATAGCTAAATGTGACTTCTTTTATCAGCTTAAATTACATTAAAATCAGGGCCTACAACTAGACCTTAATCAAAATATTATTAATTAGAATGCAGTTATTTCCTTTGGTTCTAGTTACCATATAGACGAATCCTAAGACTTTGTAAACATATGCATATGTACACAGAACACTCACTGGTTCAGTGGGAAGACAGATTACAAATTAGTCAGCGCTGCCAATTAGTGAACAAGCAGGGGAAAAAAATCTGCAAATAGAAGTAAAGCAGAATGCTTCACAACATGTATGCCCTTTCTTGTATTTGATAAATGTCATAACTGACACAGTATAGCAACCTGCCAGGAGAACCAGGGAATATCCTGTAACAATAGATATTGGAAAATATATGGGTATATATAACACATAGGAAAGAAATTCTCATTACCTCCCTTTGTTAAATATTTAGCAAAGATTTTCAGAAGAGATGGGTTTCAGCTTGAGATACATATCAGCAAATGGCAAGTGAGGGAGGTTTTATGCTGATCTATTGACATGATTGTTCAGGAATATTGCAAACAATTTTCTGTAGGATGCCCTAGTACAAATTTGGGCTACTATATACACAACCCCCTACCAAGCTTTCTACCAGCATTCCTGTTATACCAGTACAAATGTGCAAGAGCAAGCAAATCTTTAACTCTGCATATTCTGCAGAAAGTTTCCAAATAACTTCCTGTGAGGATTCAACAGAAATTTTTGACCCGCAAAGCTCATTCAGTCAGGGAAGAAAAACAGTGCCACATGACCAATAACAAACAGGCAGTACAGCTTGAATTACCAATATTGAACACCTTCACAAACCACCAAGTAATTCACAACACGTCATTCAGCTGCAAAGACTTCTGAGGAAATGGCAGCCAACTGGGAGATGTTGCCTAAAAAGGC